CATTCCTTTGGTCCTACTGCTGCCTGATTCTTTTGTCATTTTAAATCGGAATAGGCACAACCCAGTTCATCTGATTACTACGAAGATGAACCCAATTCGAAATATGAACCAAAAAAGAAAGGACCCCTTTACTTTTAACATGGACGAAAGAGAAACATGATCGATAGTCCCTCTACTACATTAAGATATTGCGGGCATAAGGTGGTTTGTGAAGACCAGCCAAACAAAGGTCGGCCTTTTGCAAAAAGCCTCTCTCTCTGCTAAATCATCGTTTTTTCGTGTCGAACCAAGCTTTAGATCCTAATATTTTCTTTAGAAAAACTTTCACTTTTATTTTTCTTTCGGTTGTCAAATATTTAATAACGAAGTAACAAAGGTAAATAGTCAAGGACAAAAGAGTAGGAAAAAAAAGAGGAAAGAGGGGAAAAGTAAGTAGTGATTGGACTAATGGAAATGAAATGATATTGATAATAGTAAAGAGAGAAAGTGAAGGGGGAAGAGGGGATACCATTTCTCAATAGGAAAGCAGCCTTTTGGGGGTGATATGACACTGATTTCAGAGAATCTGATAATAATTAAAGTTATATACAAATGTTCAATTTCTTCATCCCCATCATGCATTCTCCCATTGGTTGCTTGGTGGTTCCCTCCACCCGCCCATGTCTCCTCCCCTTCCTCATTATTTTACATTTGAATCCAAATGTGTATCCTCTCTATGTTACCTATTTTCTTTTTAGTTTTTAGGGCATATCCAATTTCACCCGTCGAACTTATGTTTGGTATGTAAGTTTCGTTTATTTATTTTAGCATTTGAACTTTCATTTTGTATAAAAGGGAATTATTCTGATTGCTATCGTGAACAAATTTTCATAAATCATTCAATAAAAGTGTAACTAGATATCTCTCTTATTTATTTGTGTTATGTGAGTAAAAATATATACATACACTGATGTTTGAAGCCTACTGTTTGTTAGGTTAGGTGTTGATTTTGAAATGGTTTAAAATTTCTATTAAAAATAGTGGATGGAAAGTTAACGGTAAAGACTCTAAAGTACTTTTCTATGAAAAATGTAAGGACTAAAATATAATATTCAAAAGGTAAGGACTAAATGAAATAATCATGAAAATTTATAGGCTACAAACTAATGAATCAAACACAAACTCCATATGAATTTTTAGAGTTTAGAAACTTATTTCGGTACAAAAAACTTTCCGACCTAAGCTACATAAATTCTTGCTACCTAAATTCGGATGTAAAACAACACCCCCTTTGGCCCTTTTATACATCTTCTATTTTTCTATATTCCGATGTTTATATTTGCTCTCTCTCTCCCTTGTTTAGGTGTACTATAATGTTGAGAGGCACATGAAAATGTGTATGATTGAGGAATCTTATCTCTTCCATAGCATTAGGTTTTTAGTTACTGTGCATATCTGATGACCAAATTGTTTTACAAATTTCAATTTCCAATATTGTTTCTGTCGTCTTGAAATGATGTGTATGGTCTATAATTTTGACCTTTCAAGTAATGTCCAATTTTTGATATTGACATTTAATTATAAAAAATAATACATATAAGTGAAATTAGGTTATATGAATTCAACACGAGGATAAAGAATCAAAATCTCCGATTTTTTAAGATGGTAAAATAATGTTTTGACCATTTAAATTATGCTTGCATCCGACATCCAGTGTGAATAATTAAACTTGAAAATATGTTAAATATCATTCATTGCCAAAGAGAGAAAAAAATTGATTTTCTAAACAGATACTTTTTAATCACACCACTGATATATATCTTAAACTTTTAAAAAGGAAATAACATAAATTAACAATTTGATCTCAAGGGTTTTGTCATTTGTGCAATGAAACTTCAATATTCTCATTGGCATAAAAAAAAAAAAAAGAACATCTTTTTATGCCAAAAAAGAAACCAAAAACACTCACAATAACCTGAATCTGACAGACATCAAAAGCAAATACACATACTTATACACTTGATTCTTTTCCTCACTAAAATTGAAAATAGGAAGAAGAAGAAGAATCAAAGGAATTGCAACCAAGCAACGCTCCACATATCCAAACTTCCTAAAACCCCAAAATAAAAACATCTAAAAAGGAACACAAAAATGACAACTCAAGAGCCACCCACTAAGAATATTCAAAAACCCTTTTGAGAAAACACAAAATCAAAGAAACCCAAGTGAAAAAAATGCATTTTTTTTTCTCTTCTTCTTTTTGGTGTCAAGGGCTTGAGCTGAGGGGGCAGGCTCCAAACAAGCCCCCTAAAGTGTGCACTAAACAGACAGATTGATTCATTTTCAGACACACACACACACCATAATCTTAACAAAAACATATCCTGTTCTTCTTCTTCATAGTCAAACAGCACTTACTACTACTGCTGCTGTGTTCTGCCCTTCTGTAGTAGTGGCTTGTTGGTGTGGCCCTCTGTCGACCATTTGATCTCACTTTTTTTATTTCTCTTTTTTTCCTCTGTTTTTTTTTATCTTCTCTTCCCCTCCAGATTAAACAGACAGATCCATTTTCAGACACCCATCTCTAAATCTTAATCCAAACGAAAAATTAGTTCAGAATACAGCTTTAAAATCTTCAAATCTCTTTCTGGTTCTCCCTCTCTCTTTCTCTCTCATCTCCGGAAGGAAAAAAAAAACCTTTTACAGGGCGTGCTGGTAAGGAATATAAAATTGGCTAAGTTGACGTTCAGATTAAAAATTGATAATTTATTATTTTTTAAATGAAACTTTTATTTTCATAGTTGTTAAACATTTAATGATAATAAATATAAGATTCATAAAAAAAATAATAAATAAAAAATAAAATAAAAGTATATAATTCATCTTACAAATTTCTTAATATGTTGAAATTTCAACTCTTCCTTATTAAGTAGCTTATTTCTCTTCTAATTTTTACCCAATTCACTAAATTTTACGTTCACGTCAAATTTTCGGCAACTAATTTTAATCTTTACTAACAACAAAAGAAATTAGAAGATAGTGCAATTATAAAAGATTAAGGACTAAAACATATATTTTGTCAAGCACAAATCCCACGTCTAATTCTACTATTTTGGCTGAGAGAGCTGAAATATTGGTTTGTTTATTTATTTACTTGTTTAATTGGTTTGTGTTTTATTATTTTTTGCTTTTTTTTTTTGGTTTGTGTTTTTTTTTTTGGGGTTCACTGCCCACTTTTGATTAGTCTTTTCACCTGCAGAAATGGAATAAAATTACTATTAATTTACAATGTGTTTTTGTACTTCAACCAACTTGGCTGCCCAAAGCAAACAGTGTTGAACCGTACTAAAATGTTTTTGGACTTGTAAAAATTTCACATGCTTTTATACTCATGTGTTGCCCCCCTTATAGTACTAAATAAATAGTAATATTTAATTTTTTTTCTTTACTTTCTTTCTATTTTTTATATATTCTTATAATATTAATATATATTATTCTTTGCTTACTTTCTCTAGAGAGCTGCATGACTCTAAAGATAAGATTAAAAAATAGTGTTAAAGTGAGGATTTAGTGGTCCAACCTTTACACATTGTGTGGTAACATACAAAAGAAAATGCTGCTAACTAGGGCTTTTGGTTTTCGTTTGGAAAATACCAAAAAAAACCCAATTATTTATATTTGTCCCATCATAAAACATAAACCCTAGGGACACAACCCTTCTACTAGCATCTCTAGGCCTTAGCTTTATATATATATATATATATATAATATATTATTTTGCTTTTTTTTTAATACACTTTATAATATTCTTTATTACTTTAGAAATCCAATGCCAACCTTTCTTACCCTTTGTCATCAGACAAAAATGTTGACAACACAAAACTACATCTGTTGAATTTCACATATTGTTTATTAAAAAGTCACAAAATTACTTGTTGGTGTGTGGAACTATTTAGCTTGTGTTTGATAATCATTTCGTTTTAAGAAATTATGCTCGGTTATGTTTATGATTTTTTTGGTATATATGGTGTTTCACTTTTTCATATGAATTCTTAGTCAAATGTCAAACAAAAATTATTTTTTTAATTTTCAAAATTTGAATTAGATTTTAAAAAGTTGATAGCAAAATAAAAGAATACATGGATAGAAGTATGTTTACACGTTTAATTTTTAAAAATATAAAACTAAAAATAAAATAATTACTAAACCAACCCAACTTAGGGTTGGTTAAGTAATATTAAAGTTCTTGGGTAATTATTTATAAGCTATAGTTTTCAAAGGAAGTAGTGTATCAAAGATAATTTCAAAATTAGTACTTTTTTAGAAAAAGAAATGAATGTAAGTACATTTGGTTACTATATATATATGTATATATATAATTTGATTTCACGTGTAAGTTGCTTTTTAAAATAATTGAAGCTTTTTTTTTTGTTGAAAATATTTATGCCCTCAATTCGCATCCTTGAAAAAGTAGGAGCGTCTAAAAAAGACTCAACCACCCTCCAAACAAGGGGTACCCCAAGGTAAACATATGAATAGTAAATTTGACTACCAAACAACTTTAACTCTATTATTTTGAAAACCACTCATATATAGAAAAAAAAAAAAATATTTCTTCTACTTAAAAAGTTGCATGTGTGTTTTAAAAACAAAAATTAAATAACATAACAGACAAGTGGCTCTAGTTTCTCTTCTCACTCAATCCTTCCCCAATTTTATCCATAGACAAAACCCCATTTACTATTTTCTTTGCCCAACCAAAAAT